TTAAGGTTAAGATGAAGTTGTCAGGCAGGATATCTATGACTGACGAACACTGAATGGATCGAGTGCAGAAGTTCAAGGTTAAAAGAGTTGTATTATGGAAAGAACAGCACCTCACTCTCATGGAGTATTTCCATATATTAATTTACAAAGTAATCTCTTATTGTGATCATTCTTCTGAGGCAGTCAAGATAAGCAAAGAGAAAAAAATGAAGGTAGCTTTAAAATTACCTTGACTGACTGCTTTCAGAAAGCCTCAGTAGCTGCTTTGGAAGTTCTTTGGTTCATTAAAAAATATATTTCTCATGTGGTAAGCACCAATTGGTCAGGAACTGTGTTAGGGCACTTTATATATATTATCTAATACAATAAGTTTCAACTGACAACCACTGGTTTAGAGTTCCTATTTATCTGTATGAGTTATCAAAACAAACATGTCTAAATTTACATATTAATTTGCTTTTCAAAAATGCAAACTTCTGAAATGAATGTATCTTACTTTCTCAGTCTCTATTAACAAATACTTAGGAATTAGTTACTCTGGTTTTTTTTTTTTTTTCCAAATTCACAAGTTAGTACTTTTGTGAATACGCAGCTCTTATAAATTGACCAAAGCAATATTTATTATGTTTATTCTGTAGTTCACTATTTGCAACTTAAATTCTAAACATATACTAACGAAAACATCAAAAGAGGAGGGAGAAGAATTTTGTGAACATTAATGATCACTTAATTTACCTTAATTATTCAATACCTTATTCAGTATTAATTACTATTCTTGTACTAATAAACGTTTTTGTCATTTGTTGACTTTAATGTCATATAACAAATTTTGGTATAGAGAGATAATAACTTCTCTGAAATCAGACTAATTTGTTAAAACTGTGTAATAAAATAGCATAGGCTATGAAATATGTGGTACTAGATATAGACAGAGTTTGTATATTTTTCTGACCCTAATCCATTGAGGCTTTAAAAGACCTGCCTCAAATTAAGAATATTAATATTTCCAGAAGTGTGACATTCCAATGAATAAAGTGACATTATTGGTAAACATTAACGACAAAACTTCCTCACCTATAGAAATGTCTACGAATTTATTATATATTTTCATGTTTATAGTTATCAAGGTAATTTTATGATAAGTAAAATAATAAACATGTATTCATATCTTAAATGTAATCATTTCTATTTAAATATGGGGAAATGAAATAGCTATTTTCTCAAAGAGAGTCTTTTAGTTTGCTTTACAGATGAAACACATTATATGTGCCAGTTTTGATTTTGCACTATTTGCAAACAGTATTCTCATTGCTGAGCAAGTACAGATTTGTACAAGTAAAATATTTTAGGACTAATCCAGATTTCAAAAGCAGAAATGTTAGTCACAGATAATTTTGAAGAGGTAGTTTCAATTTCGTGCCTCAATATCAGTGCTATAGGTTTGGAGGCAAGCATCTATTTTAGAATAAAGCAATTTTATATTTTACTTAAACACCTGAATTGCTGTATCCTGATGTCACAGATCAAGTTATTCCTAAAGTGAGCTCTGAGACTTTACTGGGGAGTGCTCATGCAAACATCATTTGTGAGAAGTGAGGGATACAGGATTGGGAAGAGGAAGGAGCTGGACTGTGATGTAGTCACAGCAGAGGCCTCAGCCTACCCTAGATGCCATTAGCAACTTTGGAGGTAAAATAGAGCTTCAGAGTTTTCCTGCTTTGAGACAAGCAGGCAAAGCCAGTAGACTCCTGCATGAATCAGTGATTGCTTGAGACTATCAAATCCTCCACTTAGGAGGGTCACCTTAGGTGAGGCAGCTCCCTTTGGCCCAGGGCAATTTGTAAAGAGGCTCTTGGGTTAGGGACATCAGCCACCAGCACTCCAAGCAACTGAGAGGAGTGCCTTGGTGCTGAAAGGGGCTCTGGAAATCAGACCCACAGCATCCCCTACACCTGTATTTGCATAGCAAATAGTCTAAAAATATGTAGCCACATGTCCTCTGCTTTCCTACAATCTTATACATTGCTCCTTTCTAACAGGTGAGAAGAGATGAGCTTAAATATTTTTTCGAACTTTCTAAGGTTTTTATGACTCTCCTTTGATGGTTTTTTTTAATCCCCTAGAAAGGAAACTCTAGTTGCACCACTAAGAGAGGACCTTGAACTGTTTATACAAGTATAAATGAAATAGATATCCCAAAAGAGAGAATGGGAAATTAAATTTACCTGATAATTGAAGGGACATATTTTTATTATTTATGTCTCTCATTGTGCTAGATAAAAAATCAGCTCGAGCTATTCCTTCACTTCTTTGGATACCCTAAACCAGAGGAGGACTTAAAATGAAACAATTGTAGAATATTTTCTTGCTAAATTGCATCCTTGTTATTATAAGCATGGAATTTTCTGCGGAAGCAAGATAAACAACTGAAGAGTTTATCAACATTCTTTTTTTCTCTACATGATGTTATGTTGTTAACCCTTACCTAATTTCTGAAATCTTAGAATCAAACCAAGTGAATGTATATGAATATCCTTTGCAAAGAATGATGTGTGACACAAATGAAAGTAATTTAGGGCTGGGCATGGTGGCTCACACCTGTAATCCCAGCACTTCGGGAGGCCATGGTGGGTAGACTGCTTGAGCTCAGGAGTTTGAGACCAGCCTGGCCAACATGGCAAAAACCCATCTCTACTAAAAATACAAAAACTAGGTGGGCATGGTGGCATGCGCCTGTAGTCCCAGCTACTCGGGAGGCTGAGATGAGAGGATCAACTAAGCCCAGGAGGTTGAGGCTGCAGTGAGCCATAATGGTGCCACAGCACTCCAGCCTGGGCAATAGAGTGAGATCCTGTCTCAAAAACAACAACAACAAAAATAAAAGTAATTTAAAATTACTTCTTAAATTTCACCACGTCGCTGATTTCAACCAAAGCTTACTTTACTTCTGAGTTTTTGTTTTTGAAACAGAGTCTTGCTCTGTCGCCCAGGCTGAAGTACAGTGGTGCGATCTCGGCTCACTGCAACCTCTGCCTCCTGGGTTCAAGTGATTCTTCTGCCTCAGCCTCCCAAGTAGCTGGGATTACAGGTGTGCACCCCACGTGTGGCTAATTTTTGTATTTTTAGTAAAGATGGAGTTTCTCCATGTTAGCCAGGCTGGTCTCAAACTCTTGACCTCAAGTGATCCATCCGCCTTGACCTCCCAAAGTGCTGGGATTACAGGCATGAGCCACCACACCCGGCCTTACTTCTGAGTTTTTTAAGGATGCACCATCTAAAAAGTTATCTTGGGTTTTAAACTTTTTATTAGAAGAGAAACTTTTAACAACGCTAAACTCATGATAGGTCTATCACCAAAGTTTTACGGATGCCCTCTCTAAAAATGGTTACACACTCACACTCAATACACTACCAAGTGGACAATAAACTAAGTTTATAATGTGCTCTGGTGAATGTAGACTTGTTATATTTCATTGTTATCTCTATTTGTTTTGACATCTGCCATTTATTTAGTGCCTTGTGCTACTTTGCAAATTAGTTTACTGATTATAGACTTCAGTTATTGACATTGCTATTGTTGGCCGTGCTATTATTATTTCAAGAAAGAAGGTAAGACAGTGGGGGGAAATACGGTTTTTCTTAATTTGGCTCCAGCTGATTTTATACCTGGGAGCAGGAGAGCTGATGGCTCTTGTGTATGGTTAATTAAATCCTGTGCTGATGGCTTCTGTTATAGGTACTAAGTCATCTAGCTTGTTAGCAGATCCTCTGTGGCCCCATAGGGTTGGATTTATCATTGGGGAATCATTTTCAGAATGTTAATTTTGTGCTCAGGTAACTGATTGAGGGCAAGATGATGTTCTGTGTGCAGTTGGCCAGAGAGTTTGTTGTGAAATTTGTAAAGCCAATTTATACGAGGAGACTCACTCTACTTTGTTTTTAAAAATGAGATGGCAGGCAAGTGGCACAAGCATGTCTCCTAGAATTCTTTACTGTTAGACAGAAAAATAGCCCATTGCATTTTGTTTTCCTAATGCTTGTTGGATTCTCACCAGCAGGTTTTTACAGTCTGTTGCTTGCCTCTCAGATTAGAATAATGCTGGCATATTTTAACAGTTTCCTAGGATTCAAACAGCCTTTAATTAACAGCAAATTGATGTTTTGGAATGTTACCAAAATATGGGAGACTGAACACTAAAGATGGGTTTCCATCCTTCCAGCTCGTGAGTGTGCTGGAGTCCTATAACAGGGGGCAAAGGTATGTGCTCTCTTGCAAAAGGCTGGCTACTTACTGGCATGCAAGGGGGATGTCTTTGTTGGCATAATATTCCCACTGCCTGCTCAACACTGGCCATCGAAATTCCACCTACTCATGACTGGGAGGAAGGCAGGGAGTTGTTGAATAATCAGAGCTGTAGGGGTGCTGAACAGTTCAGACATTGTAGCACTGGTTTTGCTGGTTTTTAATCCTCCAGTTGCTAGAGCAGTAAGGTACAGCTGCCTGAGTTTGAGGTTAAATTTCTTGTGTGTGCCAGGTTCATGTCATCCTGCTGCCAGAGTTTTGGATGTGGTAGCAAAGAGCAGTTCTGTAAAATAATCACTCAGACTTAATGCATATTGTGAGTGGTTTAGTTTTCAAAGAGGGATGGGCACATGATGAAGGGGTCTTCCCTTTGAATTCAGAGATCTTGGTTGCAAATTTGTGACTGACCCAATCTGGAGCTCTAGGCAGGAAAATAAAGACAGGTTGGGGCATTTGAAATGTTGATGTTACTTACATAACCAGATAGTTATAATCAAAGGAAAATGGAGCAGTTCAACTAGCTCGCTCTGCCTAATGGCAAATTTGCTCATTGGCCAGTTCCCAGTTGAGGTCAATAGAGTCCATGTCTTGTTTTTTCCAGTGACCCACAAAGCTGGCCTTTTTGTCTCAAAAGCAACTTTGGTGTTTTTTTCCATGGTGGTGTCCCTGATTGCTCCCTTTGCTCTGGTCTTCACAGGTGGTACATGCCAGAGTCCTGCTCTCCCGGCCCTTGTCCGTCCACCAGCCCCTCCTCTGCAACCATCGCTGGATATTAAACCATTTCTTCCTTTTCCTCTTGACACTGCAGCTGCAGTCAACCTGTTCCCCAATTTCAATGCGGTAAGTACCTGCCGAATTTGTCTTTGCCTGAGTGGAAGGTATTGGAAAACCTTAAAGGCCAGGGTTGATTTGGTCACTGCCTCCATATTGTTCATTGCATGGTTTGTCTAGAAGCCATAATGAAGTTAGTTGTTTGCCTGGTTAGGAAAAATCCCCAGAACCAGGCTCCTTCCAGGAAAATGAAAAGAGATTCGATCCGATTGGGTTGATCATGACTTGATGTCTCCCCTCTGGTGTCTTCTGGGCAAGAGCAACAAATCTATAGCTTTGTAGGCATACATCCAAACTGAAACAATGTATTTATTAGAGAGAACATTAGAATTTCAGTAGGTATTTAAAAAATTAAAAATGTGTTTCTTCTATCTACTTTAATTTCCAAATCTGTTACGTTTTTCTAACTTAATAAATAGGACCTTGACAATGACAGCAGTGATTATGTTTCAGGTATACAGCACTTTCTTCCCGCCATTAACTTAAAACAACTCAGGGTTCTGGTAGCAAGAGTTTTAGTGTGTGTTATTGTTGCCCAAGTTAACTCTCATATTTCTTTGTTTCTTTGGGCTTTGTCAATAGCCTCTCAGCACAGGTTCAATTACTTTCTTACCTCTATTTTCACTTTTAATATGTCTTTTTGTAAGCTGGCAGATGCATCATTTTCATCATCATGTGTTTCTTTTTCTGCAATCAGAGTATTCTTAGGATGAAAATTGAAATAAGGGTTGAAAAGGTTAGAAACAAGTAAGTGACTTTTTTTTTTTTTTTTAATATTATCTATTCAGCCTTCAGATAACAACAGTGGTTGTTATAAGGCAAGTCTGAGCTTGTCAATGACAGGACATGTCAGTGCAACCAGAGCAGGAAGGATTAAGATGAGAGGTCACTAAATGTCCAGTGATCTAAATAATACAGCTTTCTCGTTGCAATATCTTGTCCCCATGATGGATTTAAAAATATATATATTTGGCTCACGATTAAATAATTCTTCAGGAGACAGCAGTGGGTCTTATTTTCTTTAACAGTACTTCGTCACATGGACTTTGGACATGTCAGTGAGTCAGTACAGTTATATGCTAGTCTTTGCTAAAAGGCAAGGGAGAATCAAAATGACCCCTTTGCTTTTTGTAGGGAGAGGAATTTTCCAAACCTTGTTTTGAAATTGATATTTCATAAATAAAGCAACATAAAGATCACCTTTACAAAATACAGGTTTCTAATTCTAGGTGTTTCATTAGAGTAGAGGAAACCTGCTCAGCATCAAATTCCCTTATTCCTAAATGACTACACTGAAGTCCTCTGGGTTCTCTTTCCCTGATTTCTTGCCTGCTCTTCTGTTAAGTGGTTTCCTGGCACAGCCTTGTGTCCCAGACACCCAGGGGATGAACCATCAAGGTGCTTTTTCTGGCCTCTGAGACCACTTGGCATCCCATCCCACGTCAGCTTAAGAGCATTTTAGGTAAAATTCCTGGAAGGCCATAAAAGGCTGGATTTAAAACTTTTGATTTGCCTCTTGGGAAATACTAATAACAAAGTGATTAATTTGATTGACAATGAATATCATTTAACATAAAACAAAGATGAGTGATGTGTTGAGCTACATGACCCTGAGCAAATCTCTTTACCTTCTTTGCTGCTATTCCCTCATCTTTAAAACAAAAGGTGTGGACCTGATAGCCTCTTCATGGGGAGGTTATACCATTCAGAAATTTGTAGGTTTTTTTCGTGGGCAAAGGCAGCGTTATGTGGTGGTCAAGCTGAACTCTGTAGCTACACTGACTAAGTTCAAATCTCAGAACTGCCTCTTACCATAGATATGACCTTGAATGGGTCACAAGACTCCCATGGGCCATCATGTCTTCATCCATATAATGGGACTAATAATATAATATGCCTCATAGGTCTGTGGTAAGTGTTGTGTGGGTTAAATCATTTAGAATGAGGCTTGGTGTATAACAAGCACTATCTGAGTGATAAGCAGCATGCTCATAAGTAGCTTGTAAACCCTTCTGATTCTGAATTGACAGTTCCTTGGCTAACTGATTGCAAAAGTTTGACTTGATTCTTTTTCCTCTATCATGGATTTTAACTTGTGTTGATGTTTATTCTACTTAAACCAAGAGGCCCTCTGTTGCTCCAACTATTGCTTTTTCCTTGGTTATTCCCTTCCAGTGCTGGTCAAGATATAGCCAGACAAGGATGAAGTCATTCTTTGCTTCCAACTGAAGTGAATTGTTGGAAAGCCCATAATAAGGTAGCTTTTGACTGAGAATTAGGGCGTAGAACATCTCCTTCGGTAACAGTCTGAGTTCTTGATTTTGTAGCAGATGTGAATCACAATCTAAAAATTCGGTATGTATAAAACATAATTTTTATGGCTATAAATTGACTTTATTTCTCATTCAAAAGAGCCCATTTCATCAGGCTGGAGAGAAATCCACTCTAATTTTGTTTCAGGATATGCTAAGGTTTTGGACTCTATAATTATCTAACAGGTTATAAGGCTTTGGTGGGAGACTTCCTCTGATCATCAAGTTATTTATCCACATAGGCATTCATGAGATGGTCAGCACCTGGCTAGCATGGCCCTTTAGGCACCTGCCTCTCAGCTTGTTCTGTGCCATGCTTAGACACACAAACTTTGCAAGTCTGTCAGCAGTCCCTCCTACCTAGATCCACAACACAGCTATCCCTTCTTTGACGATAAGTGATGAACTCTGCCACCCAACAACTTTTACCCATATGACCTTTATAAAGCAAAGTCCATGATGATCAGAGACTGTCTGCCTGGTGATCAGAGACTATATTCTTTCCCTGAGGATATGAATATGCACTCATCTCTCTATTTGGGATAGAGTTGGCAGAAACATAAAGGAAAAAATTTTAAATGTATGCTTATAAAATGTATAAAAATATAAGTGGATATCTCTGATTATTATCTTCCACAAGAGAATAAACCATGAGGTTTGGGTGTGAATCAGCAAGAATAATGAAACGTCTATAAAACTAAGCACAGTTAGGAGAGAAAGGAAACAGATGTAGAATCAGAACTGAGTTATGGGTATAAAAGAAGACATTCAATGAGACTATCAGGATCCCTTAGTCTCCTCAAAGACAACTTCTAAGGAATCACAACAGAAGCTATTCCCTAGAAATGTTTCCCTTGATGTTCTAGTAGCTTTCACACAAAAGAAAGCTTTCCTGGAATTCCTCACGTATTTCCCACCCTGCCCTTTAATCTCTTAAGACATTAGAGTTTCAGTGCTTAAAAATATTCTGATCCCAGTGATCCCGTTCTGAATTTATATTTCTTGAAACAGTCACGGGAGTAGATAGATGATGTTTAGGAAAGAAATATTAGAAAGGGGCTTGAGCTTAGTTCATTCAGACAACTGCTAGTTATTCAGCAATTATTCAGCTAATTGTCTGGCATCATTATGTGCCAGAAACAGTGATAACAGATTATGTTATGACCTCTGCCATGAAAACAATTCAGTTTGTAAAGGTGAAGTTGACAAATAAGGAAATTTTTGTTAATGAAGTATGTTTATACGGAAAGATGTACAGCATACAATGTTAGCTTGAGTATAGGAGTGAATGGCTATATGGTTGTCTTAGTGAGGGCTGGGTGAAAAAAATAGAAACTATTCTAGGCATTCAAACAGGAAATAATTTAATATAAGGATTTAGGTGCATACAAAACCTTTGGGAGTATTCGACAAACAGGTCAGAGAAGACTGTTGCTAGCTCTCGTTTTTTTCTGTTCACTTTCATGGAGTCATGGAGTTGCAGACACAGGACACTCAGTAATCCCAGTTATTTCCATCCAAATTCTGTGAAATACTTCTCTTTAGTGGCATCCAATACACATCTAATACACCTGTGGCCATGTAAGCCTCAGGCTTCCAGTCTTTGGGATGTAAAGCAGGGGTGGCCCTGGTGCTGAGATGCTACTGATAGAATGGTAAGCACTATGCAGAATCAGAAAAGCTGAATGTCTCTGTAACTGTGGACAAAGGCTAAATCTATCAGAGCCCCAGTGTCCTGTACAATAAAATAAAGAAATAATTTTAAAACCCAGATGCTTAGGTTTGTTATCAGAGATATAGCTGGCTTTTAAAATGCTAGAGATTGAAGGAGAATGGCTTGGGCCAGACTTTGGGATGTCGTTCAGAATGGAAGGTAATCATGAAAAAATGGCCACATTTTATGACAGTTTTCTCTTGGGGTCTCACCATTTCCCTTTTATTCTTTATTTTTCTAACATTTTCTTCATATTCTAACTCATAGTTGTGACAATAATAAACTTTTAGAATGTCGTTGAAAAAGTACTACTTTTGGAGAATGTGTTCATGAAGACTGACTGAGCATGATTCCATGCCCCCATTCCTATGGCTGTATATCTAGTTTGGTATAAAGATTAAATGAGGAAAACTGACTTTCTGTGCCTGCAGATGCCAGATACTCAGTAAATATTTAGTTATTCTGCCTTCTAGGAGATGCACAAGGAAGAGTGAGGAGGTCACATAGAAAGTAAAGGGGCAGAATAAAAGAGCAATAAAAGAGGATAACTATTTTGCTTTAGCTAGCTTTGGCTGATGGTTCTTTAACATTAAAAAAGGTAAATTAGCATAGAAAATTTGACACTGTGCTGCTCCTCTGTATAATACGATTTTATCATGAAAGCAAGGGGAAAGAACAAAGAGAAGGGAGGGGAAGAGGGAGATAAAGAGAGAAAGACAGAGAGAGAGAGAGAGAGAGAGAGAGAGAGAGAGAGAGAGAGAGAAAGAGAGATCAAGTCCTAGCAGCTGACTCCACTCTGGCTCTTCCTAGTTCTACAAAGGACCAACTGCTGGAAACTTGAGTATACTGTGAGGTTGGGTTTTGATCAACAAGTTGAGGAGTTTTATCCATTGGAGGACAGAAAAGTGAAATTTATATGATTTAAATCACAGGTAATCATGTTAAAAGTGGAGATTCTGAGTCAAAAGTTCTGAGGAGGGGCC